CCTTTTTTGGTGCCACCAGATAAGATCAGTCTAACTAAGCGTTCTGTACATTCACATGGTAGTTTCTGATGTCAATGTATCACCTTTTTGTACGCTTTCTTAGTCTAATACCATATCTTGGTCATTTTTACTGTTCTTAGCCTCTATAGTTCTGAGGAAAGATTGGTAAACGCGATATCAGTTTTATTTCTGTCTGTGTTTAAAACGGTCTGATAGTCGAAAAATTTTAAGTTTTATGTCAAATAAAAGCTTTTCATTTCTGAAAGATTTTTTTAAAATTTCCAAAAAAATTCTCTCAGTAACGAGAAAAAGCAGTTTAAACTTTTTTCGAGTAAATGAAGCAAGAAAACAAGATGTGGCGGGTTGATTCAAAGTTTTTCTAGCGCTAGGAGTAAACATTTTTAAACAATTAAGAAAAAAATTTGAAAAGTTTCAAGAAAACTTTTTAGTTGTTTTTTTTTTAATTAAATTTTTAATTCAAATTCGAAAATAACGGTAGTCTAGTCGAATATGCCTGCTAGTATTAGTGTCAACACGCCTAAGTTCTAGATTTTCGTTCAGGTCCTCTCATCACACCACAAACAAAAATTAAAACAGTTTGATAAAAAAGTTTCTCTTATCTTTTTTGTGGTCAAAGTTTCTACTCTATTGGTATCGGAACCGGCTTCATTTTTACATTAAGTATTCATAATCTGTACCAAGAACATCAAATTTGCATACATTTTTTTCTAAATCAAATTTAGACGGACAAAAACGCTCTTTTCGCTCAAGTTTTTATGTTAATGTGACTTAGGTAATAAGAAATGAAAATGGAAATCAAACTACTTCTTTTATAACTTTTAAAAAAAATGTACATTAAATCCTAGTTATCAAATGAAAGCGCGATTGAATTTTGAACTTAATCAGGCGTCAATTTTTTTTGTCCTTGCTAATTTATTCAATGGTTCATAAACTGTCTGAAAATATGTAAATATAACAATATAATGCAAATAAGATCGACAAAATAACATACCTTACCAAGAACGAAGAAGTCAAGGCACATTCAAAAGCAATGGGTGAATGAAAATGAAAATTCTTTGGTTCACATAAATTTAGTTTGCATTCTTTGACTGATTTTGACATTCTCTGAAACTAAGCTAGAGAAAATGTTTCATCCTGTCACAGATAGCAAATGTTCATAGCTTTAAATTCTATCATCAAAATTTCTATCACATTCCGGCCAATAAATTTTTTTCATCGAGCAAATTTTTTTTATCGTCTTCAAATTTTTTCAAAAACGTTTAAAAAATTGTCTGAGATCTTTTTGTTTTTTCTTTTTTTAATTTTATTTTTTCATGTTAAGGCAGTGAGAGCATTCAGGGCTTCGGGTTGATACGAGCAGTCTTGTTGTTCCAACATTCCTAACGAAAGTAACGGAATTTTTGCCATTTTGACTAGCCATTTTGACAGAACTCTTAAATATCACTCAAAAGGTATTGTTGTTTTGAGCTTAAATTTGAAAAGATATTTTACCTGTGATCATTTTTCGTAAAGTTATGGGAATGTAAAGATTGCCATTACGGCAAATTTGCAAAAATTAACGGGCGATATAATTCGCGTTATTAACGCGTCAGCGGAGATTTAATCCGTCTTAGCTATCGTTCCAAATTGGTTGAAGGAAACTTATTTGCCATAGTTGGTTTGAAACTAGAAGCAAAATCGTGTGGGGCGAAGATTTTTACAAAAAACCTCAAATTAAAAAAAAATTTAAAAATTTTTTATGTTATTACTGCGCTATAGACCATTAAATGCAGCGGTAGCCTTGAGAGCTTTGTCTTGATACAAGCAGTCTTGTTGTTCTGACTTTCGTAACGAAAGTAACGGAATGTTTGTGCTCGGGGTGTTTCTTTTCTTCAGACAAATTTCGACTTTTTAACTAGCCTGTTTGAAGGAATTTTTTATATCATTCAAAAACTATTGTTGTCCTGAGCTTGAGTTTGAAAAGCTATTTTACCTGTGAGCATCTTTCGTAGAGTAATGAGGGCTTAAACGTTGCCATTATTGCCAATTTGGGAAAAATAACGCGCGATATAGTTCGCGCTATTAACGCGTAAGCAGAGATTTACTCCGTCTTAGAAATCGTACCAAATTGGTTCAAGGAAGCTTATATGACATCATTGATTTGTTAAAAGGAGCAAAACCTACCACTTTGAACTTAATATGGCGTGTGGGGTGATGTTCTTACAAAAAATCTAAAAGTTTTTTTCTCAAAAGTTTTAATTATATTTTATTACATTTAAGTTTTTCTTGTTATTACTGCTCAATAGACCTCAAAAGGCGGTCAAAACGTTCAAGGATTTGACCTGATACAAGCAGTCTTGCTATAATTTGAACTTGAATAATTATTGCGCGACATATTTCGTATTTTTGAAGCGTAATTGTCAAATTGAAACACTCTAAACTGAATTAAGGCAATCAACTTGACCTCAAGTTGTCAGGAGCAAAAACACCACTTTATACTCTACAAACAGCTTAGAATTTTTTCCTAAAACTTTTACTTACTTTATACAGTTTACCAGATCAATAATCTTTTCATTGAATTTGAAATGCATCTAATAAAAGAAAAAGATTCGAACGTTTTTGTGAAAGACATGGTTTAGTTTAACAAAATTCATTTGAAAGAACCTAGAATCATTTGCGTCTTTCACTTTTGACGTAGCTTTTACTTTCTAAGTGTACAGCAGCCTTTGTAACAAAAACTATGTCCTGGTCCGCAAGCTACAAAAAGTTCCCAATGAAACTTGAAAAGAACTGCAGAAAATTTCTTATCAAATTCGTTTTTATCAAATTTCGTTTTATTATAACTCATTTTATTAAAATAATTGCAAAAAAAAACAATAATTTTTACGCCGGTTTGATATAGAGAAGCATTTCTGTGGCATTAATTACTTTTCCTCGGTTGAGTTAAACATAAATTTTGTAAATGTTTTAGTTCAATTTGTTTTCAATGAAACTTTGAGGCACTCAGGCAAAGATGAAACAAGCAAGCAACTGAATTTTGCATAACTATATTTCACAAAATTGTAAATGCAGTGGTTGAAATCAATAGTTGTGAGGCGCGGAAGAATAAATTTAAAATTCTACTTCAAAAATTAATAAATTTTAGATTACTAAACTAATAAACAATTGTTAATTAACGTCAAGTGAAGTGTTTATGAGTCTGAAAATAGAAATTTGACAAACAAAAACATTTTTTGAACATTTTGTTAGAATTGATTTCCTTTTGTGCTCGCAATAACAAATATCTTATGGACTAAAATGAAGTGGAAAAAAATTTATCCACAAAAAATAGTATTAATACTTTAATATTAGATTTGAATCTTTGAAAACTGAATGAGATCATTTTCCCATCATTAGGTTGTGAAAATTTAAGGAAAATTTAAGTTTATTTTCGGTTTGAAAAACGGGAAAGATATTGAGAGCAAATGAAACAAATGAACTGGAAAGAAGAAGAAGATGGAACTGAAAGTGAATTTTAAAATTAACAAGACTGCTCGTATCAGGGCGAAGCCCTGAATGTTCCGACTACCTTTTAATGTTTAATAAAATGTAATAAAAATAAAAAAAATTTTTCTAAAATTTGAAATTTTTTATGAAAATCATTCCCCCACACGCCATATAAATTACAAAAGTATAGATTTTGCTCCTTGTAACAAATCAATTATGGCAAATAAGCTTCTTCCAACTAATTTGGAACGATTTCTAAGACGGATTGAATCTCCGCTTACGCGTTAATAGCGCGAATTATATCGCGCGTTAATTGTCCCAAATTGGTCAAAATGGCCAAAATGGCAATCTTTAAACCCTCATAACTTCACGAAAAATGATCACAGGTGAAATATCTTTTCAAATATAAGCTCAGGACAACAATAGCTCTCGAATGATATTAAAAAAATCCCGTCAAAAATGGCTAGTTAAAAAGTCGAAATTTGTCTGAAGAAAAAAAAAGCTACCCCGAGCACAAATATTCCGTTACTTTCGTATCGAAAGTCGGAACAACAATTAAAGAATATTAAACTGATAAAAAAAAATTTTTAAATCAAGTTCAGTGTATCGCACCCTAAAAAAGACTATTCTAAAGTAAATTGTAAATCTGTTTTGCCAATTCTTTTACTGAATGTTTTTAACGAACAAAACTGAAAAGGCTTTCAATTGATAATAGTGGTTTGCACGCTTTCCTCTATGATGCTGGTTTTTTACAACATATTACTCTTTGTTTCATTTTCGGCGTAGGTACTCTAGTGAAACTTCTGAGAATAAATTTAAAAATTCATTTGTTTTTGATCGTTTTGAGTTTTAGAGTAAATTCGAGCGAAGAAATCGACCAATTTTTATTCGTTATATTTAAAAAAATTTTGTTCAGATTGAGAAAACTTTTTTTTTTACTAAATCGAAAACCAGTTGTGGAAGCTTCATTTAATATTTTCTTGCTAACAAAAAATTTCACAAAAAATTTGAAAAAAGTTTTTCCTCTTAATAATTGTTCGTCAGTTTTTGAAAACAACAGTTTTTCGTTAAACCTAAGTCGTTAATTTTCTAAGCGTTTGTGTAGTTCTCTCATTACATGTGTTGCGTGGATTATTCTGTGCTACTAGCACAGCAACTGGCTATCCTTGTTTAATATGTGTTTGCGCTTTTTCAAATTTTTTGCATGTCCTTCGAAGACGCTTAACTTCATACAATTGGTTTTGGACGTGTGAAAGTTGTTTTGATAAAACTTTTCTATAATTTGCTTGCAAAATAAAAGCGAAAATTAACTTAATGTCAATACTTTGATTTATTTTGCAAAATGCATATTGAAAATCCACTGTTTTTCTAGTTTTTTAAATTTTGCATGTTCATTAGAGTAGGGAAAATTTGCATCTTGAATGATTTCAGAATTTTATTTGAGAAAAAGCGTTGTTAAAATAATAGAAAATAATTATAATACAAAGAAACATGTTTCTCCTAATGTGTTTTAGGAACCCTTGTGACGAGAGTGAGATCCTTCGCACTCTGTGCTACCAAGACTTGCGATACCACTACTACGTGGACCTGTTCACCCTCGTGACATCATATGTGGTGCCCCTCATCTGCATGACTGTGTGCTATGCGGCCATCACCAGACGACTGATTGAGAGCACCCGAGTGGTGTCTAACACTACAGTACTCGGACAGACGCACAGCGCCAGGAACCAGAAGGTGCACATATGTTGTCAACATATATTGTTCTTAGCTTACTTTTTGAAGGTGTGAATATTCTGATTTTGAAAAATCTTCAAGCTTAAACTAGTTCAAAGTATATTTAATGCCAAGGCAAATGTTGGCAATATCCTTCTAGGTCAACGAATCTAAAAGAAACAAGACTGCTCGTACCAGGGCGAAGCCCTGAATGTTCCGACTGCCTTTTAAGGTTTTATGGAGCAGTAATAACATTAAAAAATTCAATGTAAGAAAAAACAAATAGAAATTTTTTTTTCTAAAATTTGAAATATTTCATGAAATTCATCCCCCCACACGCCACTTAAAGTACAAAAGGATAGATTTCGCTCCTTGTAACAAATCAATTATGGCAAATAAGCTTCTTTCAACCAATTTGGAACGATTTTAAGACGGATTAACTCTCGGCTTACGCGTTAATAGCGCGAAATACATCGCGCGTTAATTGTCCCAAATTGGCCAAAATGGCAATCTTTAAACCCCCATAACTTTATGAAAAATGATCAAAGGTGAAATATCTTTTTAAATTTGAGCTCAGGAAAACAACACCTTTTGAATGATATAAAAAAGTTCCGTTAAAAAGTCGAAATTTGTCTGAAGAAAAAAAAAACCCACCCCGAGCACAAATATTCGGTTACTTTCGTATCGAAAGTCGGAACAATAAATCAACTTAAGCTGGCCCATTTTGACGTCTGATACCGATTTTTCGTTCTTTTTTTTATCTTACATCCACCTCTCATAAAGTATTCGTTCTCTAGTGTAACAAAGGGTTTCACAAGGTTACCGATGGAAACCAAATATGTTTTTCATGGCTAATTAGTCCGTATGTCAATGCTCATAACAATCGAGCAATGTGAACTAAACAATTATTTTAAAAAACCGCAGATGTTACAAAAAGAAAAAAGCTAGACTTTTCATTTATTTGAGCACGTATAATTAAAAAAAAAAATTAACTCAAAACAATCGATTTTTGAGTGTTCTTTCTGTCTTTTTCAAAAAACTCGATGTGAAAAACTGACAATTAGGATGATTTTGTAACGCAAATTCTGTCCAAAAAACTCAAAAAAGGCCGAAATGAGTTTACTGGTCGTTTTAATTAATTGATTATTCTTGCTTTGAAGTTTGAATTAATTTACCATACGATACAAAATGTTTAATCAATTAATATTGACCAAAAGATTTTCCAAAGAGTAGAAGTACTCAACAACCGGGACACATAAATGGTGAAATAAAGCGGGTTCAAAACAGAGTGAACCTTAATTGAAGAACAAATCAAAATTTTTTTGATTATGATAAGCATATAATTTCAAAAAACTTTGAGAAAATTTTGATAATCTGTAATATCCATTTGTCAAGGTTTACGGGCATAAGTAAGTTTTTCAGCAAAATGTTGTATGTTTTTATTAGTCAACGTTTTTGGGACTTCTTCATATAATTAGTCGGACAAGAAATTAGTCTGACAAGTAAAGCTTATGGCTTTACTACGGGTTTAATTCGCAATTCTTCCTATCTCAATATCATTTTTTTTCATGCTGTTTTCGTCTTGCATTGACTTTAACCGGGTTTTAAAAATTTAGCCCTCGTTATACTTTTTTGCATTTTGTAAATTTCATTTAAATGAATTTTGCATGTACAACCATACACCAATATACCATATTGTATTACACTACTAGCATAAAAAATATAGGAAAGTACCATTTGTTTTTTTGACAAATAATGCCGAGCCTTGTAAGTAACACCACAGAATTTTGATAATTTTTGAGTATGATACATAAAAGATAAATTTTTGTCAACCAAATGCCTAAGTATTTACAGCAATCAACAGGTTTTGTTTTTCTTCCGAAAACTTCCAAATCGACTGTTTTTTTTCTCCCAAATTTCATGTACTGAAATTTTGATTCGTTAATGGTTCAGTAGTTCTGCAAACTCTCTTTATTTAATTTTGCCCGTCTGAAATTTTGCAAACTTTCATGAGTTTTTTTTTGAATTTTTCGAGGCAAAAAAAGTGGCTCAGTTTTTGAAGCAAAAATTTGAATTCTGAAATTTCCGAGCTAAATTAGATGAGAAAAAGGGCGGGTCTAGAATTTTCTCGAAGGGGCGGACTTTCAAATTTTGTCGACCTTTTTTTAGGTCGACCAAGTATGTTTTCCGGGCACTACCAGAACATTACAAAGACCCTATTTTGGCTCTTTTCCAGTTTTGCATTCCCTCATAAAATTACAAAATAAAACTTCAAAAATGATTGTTCACACTACATTTTGCCTGAAAGCAAAGTAAAAATTAGTTCATTTGTTCACGCTAATACGTTTCAACGTAGTTTAATATGAAAAGCCATATCAAATAAACTTTCATAAATTGGAGGAACTGGAAAAGAACCCCCATTTTAACCGAAAAGTTTGCGCTCCCCTTCAAAGTTAGTATTATTATATAAGAGAGAGAAGTTTATATTAGTTTATATAATAGTTTTGATCCTACAATTCAAAGCTAATTTTGTCAAAAATTTTGGCAAACTTTTTTTGATTGACCAAATTGATTTTCCGAGCACTCCCAGAAAACTCTAAAGACCTATTTTACCTATTTTGAAAAAAAATTTCGCTTGAAAAAAAAACTGGCGAAAAAAGCCGTTCTTGGTGTTTTTCAAAAGTTTTGACCAAAAAACTGAGTTTTTTTGGCGCGTGCCCACAATCACAATTAGTATAAAATGGCGCCAATGACGCCTTTAGAAAAAACTTTAGGGTTGGTCGGCCTAATATGGATATCATAAATTAAAACCAAATTGTTTTTTTTATGAATATCATCATAAATTAAAACCCTTTGAATGGTGTCGATTTCGTGAGAGGAAGAGGGCGTCGGCCCCCACCCCTAAATCAGCTCCTGTATGGGAATAAAACAAATGTTAATATGGTGCCTCGTCATCATTCCACATCTTCGGTTTTCCTTCTTTTCTAAAAAGTTTTTGCACTGACCAGCATTGTCGGGACATTCTCTTGTACCCTGCACAGTCACAGAAGACTCTTCTGCTTCCAGGTGATCCGGGTGTTGGTGGCTGTGGTGTGTATCTTCCTTCTCTGCTGGCTGCCCCTCAGACTCTACCAGCTGGTCAAGTTCATCTACCCTAACATACTCACGTGAGCGACACTTACCTGTATAAACACCATTTACCCACAGGGGAAAGGACCAACATACCGCTGTTGTGCCCCTGCTCGAAACTACTGCATGCAATTTTTTTTGGTTATTTTTCCGGGCTGAGTAATTTAGCTTTACCCTCAAGCTACGAGCACGATCATTCATAGCTCAAAGCTATTTTACCCGTCTCACGTAGGCATCAGTTTTTTGGTCCAACGAGTAGTTTTAAAGAATTTTTATAAAGACCAAAAGCAGTTGGAGGATGAATTAATTATTAGCCTTCATGTCAATTTAAATAAAATCGGACATTGTGCACCAAGCAAAGAGCTTTATTCAGTTTGGGCTGCAATTTATAGCGAGCATCCAAATTTAGAAATTTGTCTATGTGACGTTGTCTAATTATGTGATAAATATTTGTGTAGATCTCCCCTCGTGCCCAAATTCTACCTGGCCGCCTACTGGCTGGGAGTGAGCAACTCCACCTGGAACCCCATCATCTACTCCTTCTACTTTGTAAGCACACGCACTCTCTCTCTCTCTCTCTCTCTCTCTCACACACACACATGTATGCACACTCGAACTCAAACTCAAACTTCATAATCTCGCATGTGAACGAATAAAGGTTGGAGACAAAAAGATGGAGGATTGTATATGCGACGTCCTTTATAAGCTCACTCTCCTTAGAAGTTTCCTTAAAAATCCTAAGAGCATTTCTGCAAAAATTCTGATTAACTTACAGAGTTTTTTTTTTAGCAAATCAGTCATTTGGGTCTGACTTGAGAGCTATTAGGGGTCTAGTCAAGTTTGAAAGAATCAGAACTGAGCACTACTCGAATATACTCAGATAAAATAAATAATGGCATCTTTACCATTGCAGTTTCAATGGAATTCGTCGCCAGATGTGAAAGTTTGTGGTCATTTTCAAGCAAACTTTGCCCTGACTTTATTTTATGATGCATAATTGCAGTCTAAAGTACAAACAAGACTGCTCGTATCAGGGCGAAGCCCTGAATGTTTCGACTGCCTTTTAAGGTTTATGGAGCAGCAGTATTAACATAAAAAACTAAATGAAATAAAATAAAATGAAATTTTTTTTCTAAAATTTGAATTTTTTTATGAAAATCATCCCCCCACACGCCATGTAAAGTACAAAAAGAGAGATTTCGTTCCTTGTAACAAATCAATTATGGCAAATAAACTTCGTTCAACCAATTTGGAACAATTTATAAGACTGATTAATTCTCCGCTTACGCGTTAATAGCGCGAATTATATCGCGCGTTAATAGTCCCAAATTGGTCGAAATGGCCAAAATGGCAATCTTTAAACCCTCATAACTTTACGAAAAATGATCACAGGTAAAATATCTTTTCAAATATAAGCTCAGGACAACAATAGCTTTCGAATGATATAAAAAAATTCCGTCAAAAATGGCTAGTTAAAAAGTCGAAATTTGTCTGAAGAAAAAAAAACCCACCCCGAGCACAAATATTCCGTTACTTTCGTATCGAAAGTCGGAACAATAACTGGTCGCTGCTTACAATTTATTTGAAATATTTTTCGAAGTGACCCAGAAAGCATAACAAACTGTGCTTCAAATTACCCTGTCCGTAGCAGTTTTCTTACACTTGTGTGCTTTTCAGTTAGTTCAATTAACCGAACAAATTCTACGATTGAGTAATTGATGAGTTTTCATATAGGTATGACCATGTTTTGCCCTGTGGTGTGCATTTTTTGCACAAAATCAGGTATCTCAGAGAACGCTCGTCGTTGGTCATCAATTGTGGTATCCTATTCAAGCACTTATAATAGTGTAACCCGCTGGCAGTTTCATTTTTGTTCCGACCTTCGATACAAAAGTAACGGAATATTTGTGCTCGGGTGGGTTTTTTTTCTTCAGACAAAATTCGATTTTTTAACTAGCCATTTTTGACGGATTTTTTTTATATCATTCAAAGGATATTGTTGTCCTGAGCTCAAACTTGAAAAGATATTTTACCTGGGATTTTCTTGTGAAGTTATGGGGGTTTAAAGATTGCCATTTTGGCCAATTTGGGACAATTAGCGCGCGATATATTTCGCGCTATTAACGCGTAAGCGGAGAGTTAATCCGTCTTAAAAATCGTTCCAAATTGGTTTAAAGAAGCTTATTTGCCATAATTGATTTGTTACAAGGAGCTAAACCTATCCTTTTGTACTTTATATGGCGTGTGGGGGGATGATTTTCATAAGAAATTTTAAATTTTAGAAAAAAAAAGTTTCATTTTTTTTTACATTTAATTTTTCAATGTTATTACTGCTCCACCTTAAAAAGCAGTCGGAACATTCAGGGCTTCGCCTTGATACGAGCAGTCTTGTTTTCTTTTGTTTGATATCATAGTGTGAAGGCTTTTTGTTTTCTTGTCAGTTTTTGTGCATTTTGAGTTCTCAGAGTTTTTGCTATTCTATGATATGCGCAAAAAAAGGCAGTTCTCATGAACTTTTTTTCCTGATGCTCTTAAACTTTTTTTTCTTTTTAACTGATAAATTTGTGCGCGTAAATCTCCACGATTATATAAAAAACGGTTTTCAAACACTTTAATTAATGAGTATTTTCTCGGCAAAATAACTCCGGAAGTTTGAAAATATAACGATAATTTATAATTTTCAACAAGCTTTATCATCGGTAACATCGGCCACAATAAACTGCATAACTCAAAGCAAGCTGCAAAAATGGCCAGTATTTGTCCTTGAGACAAATTGCTCTTTTTAAAGGTCAGCCTTAATCAAGGCTGAACCAAATTAGAGCGAAAAGACGGTTAAAATGGGTTTTGGGGGGACCGAACCTGGTTACGGAGCATCCCATCAGGTTCGGTGCACATTCGAGTTCTAGAAAGGAAATGACCTAGTCGGGATTCGAACCGGCGCCGAACCCGCCGGGACGCACCATGTATACGTTTGGCTACTGTCCCTATATGCATTTACATTTTGGTTCAACTTTATATGCACTTATACTCTCGCTTACATTTGAGTGTATATGCATTTGTACTATTGTTTTATATTTGCGCTGCAACATCCTCCACCCCTAAACAAGGAAGAACGGGAGCGAGCTTTACGGTCGGGCGGGTCAGTTCGCTCGTAACGGTCTTTATGTCGGCGGATCGCGCGCATCCGTCTTTGCCGTAGTGTAGTTTAGCAATACGGGCGAGTGGGTAATGCCCACGTGGGCTGTCGGGTTCGACTACCCAAACCAAGTCGCCGGTTTTCAGTGTGACATCCGAATCATTATGCCACTTTGCTCTCTTGTTGAGAGATGGTACATATTCACGCAGCCAGCGTGACCAAACTGCGTTAGCGTACGATTGTGCTCTGGCGTAACGCTTTTTATGATCAAAGTTATCTTCGAAACTTAACGACGGGAAGCTAGCTGCGCTGTGACCGAGAATGAAGTGATTCGGGGTGAGTGCCTCTAGGTCGTGCGGATCGGAACTGACCGGAGTGATCGGTCTTGCGTTAAGTAATTGTTCAACTAGGCAGAGCGTTGTTCCTAGAACTTCCTCAGTTAATCTCCTGCTGCCTAATATGTCGTACAACACTCGCTTAACACTTCTCACTAGCCGCTCCCAGGCGCCGCCGTGATGAGGGGCACTGGGCGGGTTAAACTTCCACTTAACGCCTTTGTGGACGAAAACGGCCGGGGCGACTTTGTTCCAATTTTGGACACAGGATAGGAGCTCCTTTTGAGCACCAACAAAATTCGTGCCATTGTCAGAAAGAATGGTTTTGGGGGTACCTCGCCTTGCAATAAATCGCTCTACGCCCATGACGCAGGAACTAGTATCGAGAGATGGAACCAACTCGATGTGAACTGCTCGAGTCATGAGGCAGGTAAATAGGAAACCCCATCTCTTTTCGGTACTTCGGCGTATTGGCACTTGAAACGGGCCAAAGTAATCAACACCTGTGTTGGAGAAAGGAGGCTGCTTGTAACCCAGTCTTTCAATCGGTAGGTCAGACATAATGGGCACAACTGTTTTTGCTTTGCGCTTACGGCATGTTATGCAAGTATTTTCGATGTTCCCAAGTAACCAGCGCAACTTCAGAACAATGTATTTCAACTGAACTACAGCACGCATGTAATCCAACCCCTGATGTGCATGTTGAAAGTGCATATGCCTAATCAACATATGAGCAACTCGGTGTCGACCATCCAGTATTATTGGATGTTTGCTATCAAAGTCGGTATCAACAAGACGGCTGATACGTCCAGTTGAACGCAGGATGCCAGCTGGGCCGATGAACGGAGAATATTTAGCAATCCGACTTTTCTTTGTTATCAGTTTATCGGACTGAAGTATTTTCACTTCGGCAGGAAATGATTCGGACTGAGCGAGATAAATGAGCTTCTGCTCGGCAATATCTAACTCGGACGGGTCGGTTATTTCCAGCGTTTTTGTACGGAAGTGTTTATGCGATGGTAGCACACGAAGCATAAATGCTAAAACACGTTTGTACTTTACAATTGAGCTGAATTTATCCCAATTTTTAAACAGACGGATCGACGGCACTTTCTCAGATGAAGCATCAACAACAAACGTAGATGCAGTCTCAAGGCATGTATCAATGTCACAGAGTGGGCCTTTTAATTGGATCTTTTTGATGACATCAGTGTTCGGCTTGAATGGCCAATCACATGTCCTCAATATACTAGGGCCTCTAACCCAGCTGCTATCCTTGAGGGCTTCCGAAGAAATCCCTCGTGTGCCGGTATCAGCTGGGTTATCACCACTGAGTACATGATTCCATTGATCAATGGTGGTGGACTCCAAGATTTCACCAGTGCGGTTTCCAACAAACACAGGAAGTTTGTTGCACGAGTTAAGCCACTGGAGAACGGTGGTAGAATCAGTCCACATGAATACATTGCTTACTTTAAAAGTAAGCGCTTTCAAAATCTCTTCTTTGAGTCGAGTCGCAAGCAGAGCAGCGTGAAGCTCTAACTTGGGAATGGAGAGCATCTTCATAGGCGCTACACGGGCTTTCCCAAATACAAAAGCTAACTCAGTCTTTTGCGATTTAGCAAGTCGGGCTCGGAGAAACGATACGGCGCAAAAAACGTCCTGCGAACTATCACCGAACGTGTGAAGTTCACAGCGGTCGAACGGTTCGGTAAAGTAGCTACGAGGTATCGTCAGAGTACCTAATAGTGGAAGTCCTGAGTGCCAATCTAGAAATTGTTGTTTAATTTCCTCTGGGAGATCATCATCCCACTTTTGACCACTGATTCTCCATATGTCTTTTAGTAAAAGGCGCGCTTTCACAGTATATGGAGCTACCAGTCCTATTGGATCAAAAACTGAGGAAACAAAACTCAACACGGTGCGTTGAGTAATTGCTTTATCTAGTGGTCGATCAACACCTCTACTTACTACTAGGGTATCTTTTACATGATCCCACCTGAGACCAAGAACATGCGACGATTGGTCTGGACTCTTACAAATATCCTTAACTGACGGGTTGGACTCACGGTTGTCCG